GGAGGAGGCAGGGAGATGCGTGGGGCTGGGCTGGGTGGGATGTAGGGGACCTGTGCGGGGCAGAGCTGGGATGGAGGTGGGGGAGGCTTGATCGAGCCGTCAGCTGGAGCCCCGGGAACTGGGGTCTTGTCCCGGCGCTCCGAGGGGTGTTTTGGGCAGCCACGGGCCAGGCCAGGCACCCCTGTGCTCCCTGCTCCCCTGGGGCTCTGCACTGAGCACCGGCTGGTATCCCCATCCCCGCCATTCCCACTCTCTTGCTCAAAGAAGCTGAAGGCACCCAAACCAAGTGGCTCACTTCGTGTTTGTATTTCTGAAAGCTGGAGCGAATTCTGCGGTTTCCAAGGTGTTGCTGCAGGTTACCAGTAGCTCAGAGGAAAGTCCAGGCTCGAGATAGTTATCGTATTGGATCAAAAAGCGCTGACATCAGGCTTTTAGTAATCAAAACATTTAATCTTTTATGGGCTTTAGTGTTTTGCACATGCTTTTTTTTGTTAAGTTTGGTGATAGTCCTTCATTTTTTTTGAATTTTCAAGTGATATAGGCAAATTTTGGTTCAGATCTCAGAAAGGAAATGTTTAGTTTTAGCAACATGTTGGCTCCTTCTCACTGGCCAAACATATTCTTTCTTTGAATTTCTTAGAGCTTTGAAGGAGTGCAGCGTTTTTGTGCCTTTCATCTAAAGTTTTTGCCTCTTTCTTCTCTAATTCACTGGAGGGAAAATGGGCATTGCTTTTGGGAAGGGATAAGGGGAGAAAGAGAAATGTATTTTTTCAGTGTTAGAGGTTAAAACCTACTGTTATTGAGATATGTTCTATTATAAAACAATTTTTAAATTAAATTCTTGCTATTATTTTATTATTTTCATTATTTTAATATTAATAATAAATTATTAAAATAATTTTCATGTTTTTTTCCAGTGTTATACTTCCCCTACCAAAGAATGTGAAAGAATATTTGCTGGATGATGGAACGCTTGTGGTTTCTGGAAGGTAAAGAGTGTTTTCCCCTCTGCCCTCCAAGTATTAATACTGTTTTATATTTCCAGTGCTATTTTTATACACAGATACTATATTTTCCATGATGAGTTTTTAAAATTTGACTTACCTGGCTGCGATAAGCCTCATACTGTATGACCATGTGGATGGGCTGACTGTTGCTGTTAATAAAACTTGACTTGCTGGTGCCTAATCCGAAAATCCATGTAATACACTTCATTTTAGACCAAGTGGAGGCAGTTCTCTCATTTTTTCTCTGCCTTTCCTTGTGGAGACTACCAGTCTCTTGGGTGCACAGCCTGCTGGTTTGTGTTTAGTTGCTTTGATACGGCTGCCTCCAGCTCAGAGGCTTGAGCTGTGTTACATCATTCACATGCCTGCAACCTTATGCAGGAGTGAAGTGACATTACCTGAGTTTAATTCTCAATAAAATAAGCTATATAAAAAAATCTTATTAATTATTGAATTTGGATTATCACGTGCATGCGTATAATCCATGCATATGACAAGGCTGAAAGTCCTGTATGTATACTTATACCAAGATTTTGGATGGAGAAGAAAGAGGTCAATAGATAGGAGAAACAGTTAGTAAAAACCCAGCCTTGTTCTTTGTTTTCTGCTTAGAATCTCACTGTATGGCTTCCTTGCAAAATGATTATTGCATGCATATATCTTGTTAATGATCAGACTCAGAAATCCATCATTTCCTAACTGGTACTGTGCCTCTCACAGAGCAACCAATTAGGCTGTGAGCAATTTCTCAGGATTCAATTTATGTAAAATTGAAGCTGTTTAAACACCTTGTAAAGATGAAAGGTTTTTTGGTGTTTTGGTTTGGTTTGGTTTTTTTTTTTTTTGCAACCATTTATTTTTAATCAGCTTTCAGAAAAGCTGAAACTGAGGGTTTGGCTTTACAGCTATGTTATACAAAAAATTTATGCTGTCTACAGTGGAATAATGGACAGCTGTATCATTGACTTAAATGATATTTTTAAAGATGTTTCCAAGTTAAAATCCCTTTTAGAAACCAGTTTTTCTCTGAGTTGAACTTCCTTAGCTACAAGTGAATGTGATCTTCTTGCATCAAGGCCAAAGTTGCTTTTAATGTTCAGTGAACTGGTATCTGACCTTGAGGTCTCAAGAACTGAATTAATAGTTTAATCCCTGTGGAAGTGCATTAAGGGACTGCAGAGACTTAAGCTTGTTGAAGAGTTGACTTTTGTCAGGGATGTGCATTTGAATTTACCCTGTTTGCTACACTGACTTACTGTGAATCACTCTTCAAGAGCTCGTTCTTCTCCTTTAAGATCTTCGCACTCAGTTGTATTGGCTGAAGAACTTCAAAAGTCACCTAAAACTTAAAGGGAATATTTGCAGTCCAGTGCTTTTTCACACGTCAGCATGTGAAACTCAAGTTTTTTGAATTTTTACTTGGAAAATGAGTATGGAGGCAAAACATAATAAACATAATTTAAATTGAATTTGTTTTTTTTTTTTTTAAATAAGTTTGTTTAATTTGTACTTCTATGAGAGTACAGTAAAGTTGGAAAAGAATGATTAGTAGCATGTTGAAAAGCTTAAATCATGGCATTTTCAGGGCAGAAAGTGATCTGCTAATTTGAAGGAAGCAAACTGTTTTGGGTAGGGCCCAACTCTAATACCAGGGTCTTTGATCTTCAGTTTTCTGTACTGGCTTGCTCTGATTTTTCTCTGCCAGGAATTTTGAGGCTTTATCTTCCTACAAAAACATTTTGAGATCAACAGCTGGTAGGTGCTGTGGAAATGTAATGTACATGATCAAGTCAAATTCCATCACTTAATTTCTTTTCCTGCTGATTTTTTGGTTTAGAGAAGATCCACCAAGTCATGCTCAGGAGGGGAGTGACGATGCTGAGGAAATACAGGTCAGTATATTATGTAACATAATCTCAAGTCTCTGGAAAAAAAAAAGTGAATGTGTAATTTACAGGTAAGGAGACCACTTCACAAAAATAATAATCACGTGGTAGTTGCTTTGGAAAACTTAAAAACATCTTTATTTATACTGTGAGGTCAGGGAAGGTTTAAAATCTTTCTATGCTTTTTCACAGAAGACTTTTAAATTTCTTTTATTTCTTGGATGATTGCATTTGTAGTAACGAGCAGGGAATGATGAAGGATGTTGGAATTGAACTTAATGTTTTTTCATGCCCTGAAAAATCAGAAGGTGGAGTATGTTTGGAAGGAGTTATTTCAAGAAACAGTGAAAGTCTCTGAGGCCATAATAGCTCAGAAGGGTGTTCTAGAAGAAAAACACTGAAAAATGTTGTAAGTGCAAGGTGATGGAAGGTACAAAAAGGAGATGAAAAAGAAATGTAAGTGAAAGTAATGGATCATGGGTCTAAGGATGGAAATGCTGGAGCTGGAGACGAGCTTTAGACAGGGAAGGCTGTTGAATACTGAAATGTTTGTGAAATAAATCACAATTAAAATATATAGGTGTCATCTTCTAGACATACTTTAGAATAGTACTTCTGCTGAATATACATTATTTTTCCTGTCTTAATTTACAGTCGTAATAACTGGAGGATGGTGATGTTATGCTACAGGGCAGTGATTTGATCTACATATTGTAGGAAGCCATATGGATTCTGATGTTCTCATAAATCATAAAGGATGTCTCAGGAAACCAGTAACCTTCAATTTGTTCTTATTTTTAACAGTGGTCAGATGATGAGAATACGACAACGCTTAAGGTAAGGTCCTGTGAAGCCTAATGTGGGTTTGCCAGTGGTATCCTTTCTGCAACCTTGTGATATGAACAGATATAAATATATCTGTTGTAGAGAAATCTGTTGCTGTATCTAACATTTTTTGGACCATTCTAGATGGGTGGCAGTGTAGATGTCTGTAGCTTTAAAAAAAAAATAAAAATTCCTGGCTTAATTTTGTTTAACTAAAAATAAAATGCTTTTCTTTATCCCCAACAATCACACACTGGTTAGACTGTAGGAAATGAACTGAAGCAGGGCTCTAAATATAGCTGTCTTTCATTTTCACCACTTTGACTGTCTCCCAATTACTTACTCAGACTGGATGCAGAAGCCCCTGCAGCTCAATTTTCACAGCTCTTCTCTTACACCTTTGCCATTATTTCCTCCTAAGTACATTTCTTTCTATGTTTTTGGTTTGTTTTTTTTTTTCTTATTCTTGTCTTTTTGTTCTCCTTGTACTGTGCCTGGCTTAGAATCAGGCTTTCTTGATTTTTTTTTTTTTTATTTTTATATCTTTTTGAAACTTGCTGTTGCCCTGTCAGGGTCAGATTTAATACACGTGCACCACTTGTCCGCTATTGATACTGTTACTTCAGTCCTGTTAGCTCCCTGATCTTCAACATAGGGTTGAATTGCTCACACTGGATTAGGTGCAATATCAACACAGCCCCTGCTTAGAGTTGCATGTATGCTGGCACAGAATTTATAGCACAGATTTTAAAACTGATACATGCTGAATTTGCACACGTTAATAGCTTCAATTCAAATATCTAAGCTTTGATAAAGTAGTTGCCCTAGATTGTAAATTATTCAGAACAAGGATTTTGGTATCCATCTTATCTTTTGTAAAGCTCATGTTAATGTTGCTGAAGAAATCATATCAGACTTTTGAATCAGGTTTCATCATAGCATACAACACAACAGGGAAATACATAAGGAAGAGATGTGATACCCATCAGAAGGACATAGGCCAAGAGATTCAGTTTAGCTTGGTAAGAATCGTGTACTGTTGATGGGTTGCAGCTTTACAGCTAACGTTTTACTGGGGCTGGCTGTCATGGAGTTAACTTTCAGCTATTGCTTGCATAGCATCAAGGCTTCCTCTTTTCTCAGTCTGCCCCAGAACCCTCCCCAGCAACGAGGCAAGAGAAGGAGAGGGGCCAGAATCAGGACAGCTGACTCAAATTGTCTTAAGGGATATTCCATACTATATAACCTCATGCTTGGCAATAAAAGCAGGGGTAGAGGAGGAAGAGGGGTGTTTTGGCCTCCAGGGTTGCTCTTGTTCTGGCAGGGCCTTGTCTTTTGCCAAACCTTTAACTTCTAAATGGTTAATAATTAACATGGTTTGTGCCTGTGCCTAGTTCCTACAAAAATACACCTACATTTGGTCAAAGAAAGAGACTTTAAAAGTAGAATTTCACAATGTGCTCTTTACCATCTCGTAAATTTGGTAGATGATTGCTCTGAGTCTGTCCATGGCAAATATGCTTTCTCTACCTGAAAACTAGGGGCTTCTCTGAGGCTAGTGAGTGAATGGAAAGAGTCTTCTGTGCTTTTAAGTGTTGCTTGTTACCACTTTGACAGTGATGAAGAGAGTGAGGAAACAGCAGGTGTAGAATGCAGAAGGGTAGCGAGCTGCACCTGGAGTGCCTCAGAGATGAGAACAGATCAAGTAGCAACGTGGAAGCTGAACAGGGAGACAGTGGGGAACATAATGCGTAAAGAATCATAGAATGGTTTGGATTGGAAGGGACCTTAAAGATCATCCAGTTCCAACCCCCCTGCCATCAGCAGGGACACCTTCCACTAGACCAGGTTGCTCAAAGCCTCATCCAACCTGGCCTTGAACACTTCCAGGGAGGAGCATCCACAACTTCTCTGGGCAACCTGTGCCAGTGTCTGACCACCCTCACAGGAAAGAATTTCCTTCTAAGATCTAATCTAAACCTCCCCTCTTTCAGCTTAAACCCATTTCCCCTTGTTCTGTCACTACCTGCCCTTATGAAAAGTCCCTCCCCAGCTTTCTTGTAGGCCCCTTCAGGTATTGGAAGAACAGTGGGACAAGCTGGAGACTGCTGTTCACTGTCAGCCTAGGGCACTTGTGTTTTACTAACGATAAACCCCAGGTTACACTTCTCTATTGGTTTCTTAGCTCAGGGAGCAGTAAGGTTGGCTGTGATTGTGGTTATTCTGATTTTGGTAACCTGCCTGAGTCACCAGGTAGAACTTGTTTCCCTTTCCCCTTCTGTATTCTGAAGAAGAGTGAGAATATAGGATTATAGAAAACTGTGTTTAAAAAAACCCCCATGCATTAATATTGTTATTTGCAAAGTCAGGCATTCAGAATTTAGGAAATGTTAGAATTTAGCTTGTTTATGCAGCTTTAGAACTATCCTCTTGTGTATATTTTTTCACTTGTATTAATCAAGTGACAGAATGGTAACATCTCCTGAGGGAGGCTTAGTATGTGCTGATATTACATATATAGTATGACTCCTGACTTCTGTCAAAACAAGAGGAGATTGGATCAGAACGCAATGCATGAAGAGTTTTACTTCTTACAGGAACAATTTCTAGAATTGGCTGAAGCTCTAAAAGTAAAGTAAAATAAGAGAAGTGCTTTTTCAGTTTTTGAAGTGTAGTTTTCCATGGAGACTAGGTAATGTACTAAGGGAAGATTCACAATGTTTGAAGTTCAGTCTAGGTCACTGCAGTAAAATGTGAGAGGGGTTTTTTTTAAGTGTCTGAATCCAGGGGTCTGCAGAAAGGAGATGCCAAAATGTATAGACATTTTTTGGTCACTTGTGTAGCTGTGAGGGCTTTGTTGTTCTAGAGCCATCAGTTAGCTTTAGTCTAGAAGTTATCTTTGAGTTTACAAATATTCAGGCGGAAAGAGTATTCTTACATAGTTTTTGCTATAAATCCTATTATATGGAAAATCTTTGACGTATGCCTGAAACCCTTTCATATTATTTTAAAGGTCAGCAGTCTGTTTTTTTCTATTGCACCACATTCAGAGCGGAGTTTATAGCATCTTGAGGAGCTTTTTTTCCCCCTGTCTTATGTTTACAATATTGACTATGTTCTTTACAAGACCAGGTTTTCTAGTCCAACCCACACCTCTGCAGTGTGCCCTTTATTTTGAAACAATATATTGTTAAGGACCTACTTTAAGACTTAATTTAAGAGCTAATTAGTTGAAGTACTGCTAACAACATTTTATAAAACTAAAGCTTAAATAAGGAGCTGTCACTCAAATTGCCTATGAATTGATTTATTTACTTTTGCTCTCTTACTGTACTCCTAATTGCAACTAGAGAACTATTACAAAACAGAACTGATCTCTTTCTACCCTTTCATGCTTTGACAGAGTGCTACAATATTTGTATTTTAGATTTTTTAAAGGGATGTTTAGTTCTAAACAAACTATTATTGGAAGTTTGTTTGTTTTTCAATCTCCTTGGATCTTATTTGTATACAATCATCTACCATCAGGTATAAAAACAGTAGGTATGTATTTAAGGTCTGTTTATTTGACTTGCATGTTTGCCAGTTGTTGCAGCTTTCATGATGAACATTCCACGATTTTGGGAACACCCAAAACATCATAATCTTGCTAGTAATGAGAGTGAGAACTGGAAACATATTTTCAATTTTCTCTGATTAAAAGAATGTCAGAGTTGATCCTGATACAATTTATTTCTATGAATACGTTATTTTTGTGGGGTTCTTGGTTCCTGGTTTTTGGAGACCTTTATTCCTTCTACAATATGTATTTCTAATGGTATTTAGAACTTGGTTACACTTCACTATTAAATGTATTGAAATTGATTTTTTTGTTGTCATTTTTCTTTGTTCAGGCACCAGAATTTCCTGAGTTTACAGCTAAAGTTCAAGAAGCAATAAGTTCCTTGGGTGGTAGTGTTTTTCCTAAACTTAATTGGAGTGCTCCAAGGGTAAGAATGCTGACTTCCAAAACTTGTAACAGATGTTAACATAAGGATTTTTTGTTTGTTTTATCTTAATGCATTGGAAAGTAGAAGTGACTAGTGGTTCTGATAAAGGAAGGAGTGATAGACAAGATATCAGTGAAGTATGATACAGCAGATTGTTCTGGTGGATTAGAGCTAGATGGTGCACTGTTTGGTGAGGCTGATGAAAGACAGCGCTGTCTTTCTTACATAAAATCCTGTGTCCTTGTCACAGATAACAGTATGGTGGTCAGACTCTTCTCATTTAGGATACTAGTTGAAAACTTTGCCTGGAATAAAGACTAAACCCTCCATGTTTTTTAAAAAAGCAATAAACCTCCCTCTTCTTATTTTTAGGTACTGTAACTATACCTTAAGGATGGGTGCACCCAAATGTTTTTGTATCATATTCTCAAGGGAAACTTATGTTCCATCAAGCCTTCCAAGAACATACCTGGAAGCAGTAAGGCAAAGACTTAGGTTTTTTAAAATGGATTTACTCTGCTTTCAACAGAGTATTCATAAGAAAAGCAATAACTGTTGTGTCTCTTGAAACAGCTAATGAAGCTTTCCTCAAAATAAAAAAAATATTTTTCTGCATGTGTTTAAAATGTTGCATAATATTTAGTTCTGCTGGAGCTGCAGCTTGCATTCCTTCCTGCTGGTAAAGGTGCATTTTTGCATCATCTCCTTTTTTGTTTAGGATGCCTACTGGATAGCAATGAACAGCTCTCTGAAATGTAAAGCTCTCAGTGACATCTTCCTCCTCTTCAAGAGTTCAGACTTCATTACTCGTGACCTCACTCAGCCGTAAGTACATTTCTAGGAGACAATTTTATTTATACCCAGTCAAAAAAAACCCCCAGCCCTCTGAGGGTAACTTTTCAGTTCTTCTGAAAGATCTTACTCTTTATGATAAAGTAACGATAAATATTTGAGAGGAGGAGAAGATGTATTCATGTTTCAGAGTTGTTCAGGTAGAAGTTTCAGGTACAGTAATTAGTTAATTGTTCTTCAAAGCTCCTCCCATGTCTTCTCTCCTTCTTTGCCTCCCTCCACCGTGCACAAATAAACGCCAGGCCTGGTTCAGTGCAGAGAATTGCGAGGCAAATTATCTCTGTTGTTAGTTACCATGAGTGAGTCTCTCCTAGTAAACTGGAATTGTTTAGCTAGTTTCAGTCAACAGGAGAGGAGCAGCCACCATTTTATTCTATGTTAATTAACTTGATTTTAATATGCAAATGGATGAAATGCAAAACAGGAAGACATTACATTAAAGCAGTACATGTGAAATGACACTATGGAGTAAGACCTTTTTTATTTAGTTTCTTTCCAGAGCAAGTGATGTTATTAATCTTTTTTTTTCCCCTTCACACCTGTCCTGGCATTTATTTGCTGCTACCTACCTTATTATTGCCACTTCTCATAAAGCATGACTTTACCATGTCCCTTTCAAATTTTAAAGTTGTTGAAGTTCGTGTGGCTGCCTGGAAGGTGCCTGAGACTTCTGCTAATGTATTCCTAGAGCTCCTTTTGAACTTAAGTTATTGTAGATCTTGAACAAATGCACTTGAGGAACTGTTACTGGGATAGTTACAGATAAAATTATGAATACCATGTGCTTGGGGTTTGTTTTGTCTGCTCACATGAAGAGAGTACTTATTTGTATAGCATCAGTTTCCTCCTGTAATACCTGCATCTGATTCATGTAATTAATTTTTAAAATACAACCTTTTTCTGAAAGAAAATAAAATTATTGGAATGTAATGTTCTTGTTACTATTATTGATATTATTTTTTTTCAGAAAAGCAGAATTTCAAAGAAAATGGGCAATCCATGTCTTGGAATCCAAGAGATTGCTTTCCAGTAATTATTCAGTACTTATTTATATTACTGCAATATTTAGGAGACTCAATCAAATGCAGAGTCCTTGTTCTAGGTGCTTTATAGAGGGTTACCAAGCACAGTAGTCCTGTGTTAAGTAGCTTATGACCCAAAAATAATTGTCTTGTCTAAAATGTGAAACCAGTTGCATTAATGCTGTGCAACAGCCTTCTTTTTTTATTCCTACAACTCTAATAACACTTTTCCCTCAGTTTGTTGGTACATTAGAAAAAAATATAGGTAGCAACCTCCTCATCCTTATCTCTGCATTTATGGAGTGCTAGCAACACTGTCAGTCCGATTCTGATGCTCGGTTTGACGTTATTTCTAACCTACAATATTATGAGATACAGGGGAAGAGACTGAGAAGGTGGGGAGATGATGTTTGAGTGAGAAGACAGTTTGAGAAGTATGTTGGACTGGGGAAACAATTGCAAGCATTGATAATTTTTGATTCTAGGATCACAGAAAATGTAAAGGGATGTGCCAGATGAGAAGTCTATAGTTTAAATTGCAGAGGTGAGTGGTTAGTAATTCTCAGGAGCCTTTGGTGCCTTACCAAGGTTTTTTTCATGGCCTCCCATAACGGGAGGCTAGATGACTTGGCCAGGTTTCTTGAGGAACGTTTGCTCAAAGGGTTGAGCTCTAAAATTTAACGTGTTCTTTATTGTAGCTGCTCTCAGGATTGAGCCTTGTGGGTCTGAAAATCAGAACTGTACCCTTTGTATCAAGTCCTTTGTGAATATTAAATAATAAGGTTTTTTGTATTCTACTATCCTCATGTATAAAGAGGTTCACCAAAAAGTACCATGAGCTCCTTGGAAAATTCCTGTTTGGCTCACCACTGTCTAGTGAGCTTGGGACACAATCAAGTGTTTAGGAAGCACCATTTGGTTTAAAAGATGTGACAACTCTGTGTGTGTTTGTGCTCCTAGTTTATGCCATTTGTATGGTCAAATTAGTGGGTTTGACCACCTTCACTGAGACCAAAAATGGTGCATTTTAGGTCAGGTTTTACCTCGTATCAGGTTAAGTTAGTACCTCAGCTGTTCACCTTTCCCTCTGCAGCCAGCGCTGAGTTAGCAGTAGAGGCAGTGAATGCACTCCAGCTCCTCTGCGGTGAGATTTCACAGCATGGGTGTTAACTTGAACCATCAGTAATTTCACCTTAAGTTCACACCAGACTAAAAAGAGTTGAGCAGCCTGTAGCAGGCACGTTCTCTCCTACTGCTCCTGCTGTGGGAGAATAACCTCTAACAGAAAGACAACACCTCAAATTGCAGTAGTCCAATCCATGTAGACTCCTTTTCCAGTGTGATAAGACAGCATGCACCGCCAGATAGCACAGCTCCACTGCTGGATGGGTAAATAAGCCAACGTTGTGACATCGTTGTGGGATCATCACCTAATCTAAAGGTTCAGGTGAAGTTTCATTTGAAAAGTGTTGTATTTATTTCCCTTCCTATAAAGCCTGATCTAATGTTGATATGAATTTGGGTTACGTGGGTTTTTCTGCCAGAACAGCCTTTGTTGTTTTGGTAGAGTTAACGTAGGCAGCACAGCCTTGTAGTTTCCATGAATTTGAATGCAACTAGAGGAATGTGTGTGATATGTAAAAATCTATGTATCTTATATTTCATTAATATCTTGTACTTGATTAAAGCATTTGTTATTGTCCAGTCTGTGCATGGTATTTTTAAATTGCTACAAGTTACTTGTACAAAATGTCCCCACCCGAAGAGTGAAATGATTACTGCTGAATCAGAACAGTGGTCTGCCTTAATTACACTATTGATTAGCTGCCAGTTCCCTAGTCCTTAGCAAGCAGAAATTAAAAATGTAGTTGGCATAAGAACTTGAAGTGCTGAACAAATGAAATTTGGGTACATAATACACCCAAACCCCATGGAAGGACTAGGCAGAGGGAGAAGGGATAAATGCACTGTGTTTCTACTTCTTCCATTAATACTCAGTATGGTCTAAAACTTCCTTGCCCTGAATAAGTAACAGCTGAAATAATGTATACCCTTTTTTTGTTGTCATATTTTTGTTTTCTGTTCAACTGTATTAACTTAAAATTCCACTTCACGGGTCATAATATGGGAAAGACTTGGAATGGCAATTTGAAGATCTGTTTCTTAATCCAGCTTTGCCAGTGATGTGGGATTTAAGGCAAACCACTCTTCCCCCCTCCCCCTCTTCCTTCCTCTCCCATTTCCTATCTGTTTATCTGATATCAGTCTATACATTGTTCAGGTCAGGGAACTCTACTTGCTGTAATTCTCAACTGTCTCAGGTTCTGAGAAAACTTCAACGATGCAACACTTCAATACAAACCATAAAAAATATATGGCCTTAATGAAAATATGCTGAGCATGACTAGATAAGCTTTGACTATTTTAAATGTTTGGATTCGCTCATGATGTTCACACTTTGTTTGGTTGGAAAGCTCAGAATAATGAGTTAACTTTCCTCCTTGTTAATTCTGTATAAATTAACAAAGGCTTAGAGTGACGCACACATTAATGTAGTCAATGTTGTTTCTGCTTCAAAGTAAGCATTGCATTTTACTTAGCTGAGGTCACAAAAAACTCGTGGGTGGTGTGATCCTTAACTTTTCAGGTTTTAATGTAGGCTTTCAAAAACAGTGTTGTAGATATGTGATTAAAAAAATTATCTTTCTAATTGGGATTTCTATTAAGTGATTAAAACTCCTTTGAACAAAAATCCTTTTAAAACCCTGTTGAGTGTATTGGTTTAAAACAGTTTTATTCCTTATTGTTAGAATGTGTGGACTACATTTTCTTGAGACATGATTGCCCACCTTGAAACTGACATAAATATTAACAGTAGTTCCAATGATACTATAATGCCCTTTAAATTATAACATAAGCTTGTTGTTATGTCATGCTTGTTAATAAACCTTGGAAATTTTGTCAGACTTTGGAGGTTGTTCCTGTTCTACAGGGTAATACTGGATGTTTTAAATGTGCAGATAATTACTGTTGGGATTTTGAATGCTAAAATATTCTTATTTTCCCAGTTGTTTAATAGTCACAACCATAGGAGTGAAATAAGAAGTCCTGTAAGTTCAAATTTGACTTATGTTAGAGGGACAGAATGAGTCACGTGTGAGAATGGCTGTTTTCTGATGTGCACTTAAGTGTTGTAAATTGACTCTCAGTATTTTATTGGACCAGCTGGTGCTATGGACCTGTTACTTCTTGAAGTTCATTCCTGAAAACTTCTCGAGAAGCTGGTTAGACAGGTGAAGTAAAGAGTCTAAAAGTAACCACTCAACCCTGCCTAAGCCCAAGAAACCGAGTGAAAGGACCATCTGTGCTAGTTTTAGTAGGTAAGAAATAGCTACAAGGTGAACAGAACAGGTGAAGCAACTCCCACTGGGCCAAGGAAAAGTTTCCAAATGTATTAGTGTGCAAGACACAAAGGAATATGAGGGGAAATGCAATTTTTTTATTTATTTAGGTGTTTATAAGATGGCTTGGTTAAAATTTAAGCTCTTCTTTCTGAGAGCAATTGAGAAGGTCTGCTCTAGAGTAAGGTTTATTCCATCAGACTCCTAAACACATTGTTTAACTGTAAAACCTAGCAGATATTTCAGTTGTTTTTGTTTTTAAGCTAGCATTCTGACTACACTTTTGATACCAGACTTAATGCTTCTAAATATTGAATTAAAAATCATAAAGAAATTACAAAGTTTTTCTGAGATGTGGAGGAATAACAGCCTGTGTTCTAACAGAACATAGGAGGCAGTGTTGGCTCATAAAGATGTGACTTGGCACAGTAGCTGTTGGTCTAGACTTCAGTATAACCTATTTTGAGATAAACAGTTCCACATGAGAGGATGTGGAAAATGAGGGCTTTGATGATTTTTTTTAATTGAGGTTTTACTCACATTCCCATTTTCACTAGCAATTTACAGTATAGCACAAGATACTCTTTTGAATAGTGCATGAAATTCCTATTTCTCTTAGTCCGTAAAGTTCCAGCAAAGTTCAATATTCAAGAAATAAAGATGCAGTTCAAAGGCTGTTAGAAGTTGCTCCTTGATTTTTTTGTAATTTTTTTTTGTTAAGGTTTTAAAATAAACTGTTAGATCATAGCAGGGGAACTGTCAGAAACTTAATAACTTTTACAATTCTCATTATATTCATAAAGTTTATTATACACAGAATAATCTCAGTGGTTTGCAAATGAGTTCATGGCTCTCTTAGCAGGATAGGTACTGGAGGTCTTACAAACCTTCTTAAATTGCTTTTCTCAGTGTTGAAAACTGAACTGCATAATAGCTTTGTGTAGTGTTTCCTGTTGTATATGCGTTTGGAGATCAACATACAGCTGCTACGTATGTATGAAGTGTTTAAGGCCAGGTTGGATGAGGCTTTGAGCAGCCTGGTCTAGTGGAAGGTGTCCCTGCTGCTGACAGGGGGGTTGGAACTGGATGATCTTTAAGGTCCCTTCCAACCCAAACCATTCTATGACTCTATATAAAGAGACCTTGATCCTTCTCAACATCTAAGTATAAATCTTTAAACAAGCTGTTGACCAGAGCACGAGGCCTATAAGCAATAGAGTTTAATTCCTTCACCCTTTGTAGTATATAACTTTTACAATTCTCATTATATTCATAAAGTTTATTATACACAGAATAATCTCAGTGGTTTGCAAATGAGTTCATGGCTCTCTTAGCAGGATAGGTACTGGAGGTCTTACAAACCTTCTTAAATTACTTTTCTCAGTGTTGAAAACTGAACTGCATAATAGCTTTGTGTAGTGTTTCCTGTTGTATATACGTTTGGAGATCAACATACAGCTGCTACATGTAAAGAGACCTTGATCCTTCTCAACATCTAAGTATAAATCTTTAAACAAGCTGTTGACCAGAGCACGAGGCCTATAAGCAATAGAGTTTAATTCCTTCACCCTTTGTAGTATTCAAAATGACAATTTTAAAAAGCTTCATAAAAGAGTCCAGATATCTCTCAATTTTGAGTTCCTGAAGTTTTTCTGAGTGGTTTTTTTCAAGTACCTCCAAACCTAAATAGGGTGCAGGTTAAAGAAACCCTGCTTAGCCTTCTGCCTCTTACAGTCAAAAGGCCATAGGTAATGGAGAAAATCAGCTGGGTCTGAACAATTAATGCTGCGATAAGTTGTTAAAAAATATAAAATAGAAACTATTTCAAGTTGCTGAATGTTTACACCCCAGAAAGGGGGTGGTAGTAGTGTCTTTCTACTGACAAAAACTCATAATATTTAGAAGGAAAATGAGACTACAAAACCCTGAAAATCAGCTGGGTCTGAACAATTAATGCTGTGATAAGTTGTTAAAAAATATAAAATGGAAACTACTTCAAGTTGCTCAACATTTACACCCCAGAAAGGGGTGGTAGTAGCATCTTCCTACTGACAAAAAGTCATAATATTTAGAAGGAAAGTGAGACTACAAAACCCCGAGTTTATTTTGTTTTTCACTGGATTCCCCCATTTTTTCCTCATTTGTACTCTGAACTGTGTCATTAAGGCTCAAGAAATACATCACTGCATCTTGCAGTGTTGTACATTCATCATTTTGCCTGTTTGCTTGATTTGGTAGCAATAGTTGGGCAGTCTTTGTGACCTGGGATGGCACCCAAGGATTTCATTTTCTGACTTCCAAGGAAAGAGGAAATATCTTTCCCCACATAACTGTCTCCTGAAGTATTTGAGGATTGAACAGGGGATAATTTTGATTGTTGGTAAGGCTGTTTTTTCACTGCTGGAAAAGACTTACTGGAATGAAGCAGATCACAGGTATCCCAATCTCAGGTGTGGAAGTCTGTGGGAGGTAATCATAGAATCATAGAATGGTTTGGGTTGGAAGGGACCTTAAAGATCATCCAGTTCCAACCCCCATAATTAGGTCCTAGTGTGCAGGGACTGTAAATCTCCACGTGCTGGACTTCAGCTGCCTTTTTATGTATAGTTTATAATAGGGGGTTTTTTTGGGAGGGGGGATGTTTTCTTGAGCATGGTAGGCATATATGCTTGTAAGGGAGGAATTTTGAGTCTAGCAAAACTGCAGGCTCTCATGAGTTTGTTTCTATTGCCTTGACAGTTCTTAAATTGTGGGAATTATCGACTGTAGTTGAAGGATGTTATCTGTTTGCATAGGCTCACAGATATATACGATCTGTTTGATTACAATACTTTTGGAAAGCATGCCTGCTATCACCCTTCTTCTCTGCGTGTGGTGGATATTAAAGTCTAAACTAAAATATGGGAAATTTATTTCTGCTGGCAGCGTACTGAATGAACTGTTATGACAGCTCTTCACTTGAAACCGAAGGCTGAACAGCCATGTCTTACAAATGCAATGCTTATATTAGAGATGTTAAACGTTTGGATTGCTTAACTAAATTCAGTGCCAAAGGGAGATAGTCTAAATGTTGACATTTGACTATTGCTCAGCAGTAACCCTTCACACAGTTCTGTGCATCAAAGTGGTTTGATGCCAATAAGGTCAGGGAGTACACTTGGAAGGAAAATACATGTTCTTTCGCTAATTCCCTTTGAAAGTTACAGGATTTATTGCAAGGTTTGCTGTAAAACGACAAAAAGGTACCTAGAAGTTGGCTTGGGTATAACTGGCTTCATTCTTAATAGTTCCTGAAAGGTGGCTCATACAGTCAGCTACTCACAAGGGACGAAACCTTGACATCTGCTTGCAGTTATGGAAATAGTTTTGTTTTTTCCCCACTCTCAAGAGATTTGTAAGAGTGTTTTTTAAGGCATTTAATTTAGAATGATACCATGCTGTGGAATCAGAGTGGCGCTGTTTTGCATCCCTTATTCATGGAAATGAACTGCTGTAAGGCATGATGGTGTGTCTCTGTTGTGTGGTTTAGGAAGTTAAACTTTAAAAGTACTAGGGAAAACATGCTGCAATGAAACTAGATTAGATTGCTCAAGTTTATCTGGTTCTTCGAGAATCCAGTTAGGCCAACATAACAGTAAAGAGGAAAGGAACAGCACTGTTGATTGATTCAAACAGGAAAAAAAATCAACAGTAAATAAACACATTTTAGCCACATCTCTGTCCAAATTTAAGTGCTTCCAAATTATGTGGAAGTGCTTTTATTATTATGTGGAAGTGCAATTATTAAGTGCTTTCTCTAGATGAAAAGAGGTGATTTTGCCCTCCCCTCGCCCTTACCCCCCAATAATTGTCAAAAGGAGGTTTGTTTTATTGATGTATTGAATCTACTTGGTTTATATGTTTTGGAGATAATTTAACAGTAGTTTTGTGATTCACAGTTTGGAGTTATTTTTCTCACTATGGCTAAAATCCTATATATAAAAGCTGATTTTGATGCCTGTACCTTACTTTTCCAGATTTATTCACTGTACTGATGATTCCCCTGATCCTTCCTTGGACTATGAGGTAGGACTTTTTGCATGATTTCTGGGTAACGTAAATGAATTTCTCACAGGCAAGGAGCCATCTGTGCTTGGCTACGTGCCCATAAAATTTTGTTTTGTTTGTTTTAATTGTGTTGCTTGGGCAGTGTAGGGAATTCTGGTTAAGCATCACAGGTCAGAAGGAGTTCATTATATTACAGATCAGATGAGCTAAAGTTCAGACTCTTGAAGCTTCCTTGCAATTTCATCACATGTCTTGTCAGGTTTTGCCAGGAATGACAAGTTCAGTAGCTGAAAGTCATGTGTTCTCGATAGTATGCTGCTTGTGAGTGTCACCACCGAGGTTACTCAGAAAGAAGCTAGCTGTAGTGACTGGGGACTTCCTGAACTGAAGTGGTCTGTCCTATCTTGTTTCATAGGCTTGTTATCAGATTAAAATGTTAAGCTAGCGATGTAGATATTAACAATACTCTAAACTGTTTGTGTGGTGCTGTTGCTTTTAGGATAGTGTCTAGTCATTTCTGTAATAATTTTTATGTAAATACAGCACAGGACGTGTAAAAGTTGGAACAAAGAGTTTCATCTTTACACTGCAGTTGGGAATGTCATCTCTGATTACTGAGGTCTTTCTGCTGCACTTGATAGATGTTGGGAGTTTCCAGTATCCGGTAACAGTAATTGAGGCCTTCAAAATAATGGATACATCTGAATATTTCAGCTTAGGAAATGCAGAAACTTGAGAAAGTGCCAGAGAGATGCTTTAATTACCAGGCAGTCTGTCTTATTGACTATAATAGTTGTGTTACTATTTCTCTCCCATGTCCTTATTTAAACTAGTTTGTGCCTTCAAAGACGTCACAGAATTCTGCTTGGGTGTGTACCAGAATAGAGGTTGATTTGGTTAAATTTAATTCTGCTCATCAGCTGTTTTGACTAGGGAGCAACTTTCTGCCAATTCCATGACAGATTTGTTGTGTTCTACAGCAGGGTTCTTGTTTTCCATGCTTTATCATTAATGTAACTTTGAAGTTGTTTCATAATTTCACAGTTACAGATGCTGTAAAAGTGGAAGAGCATCACGTAATTAAGGTGGGAAGGGACCTCAGGAGGCCTCTAGTCCATTCTTATGCTCAGAGATGGGTAAGTGATAGGATCAAAGTTACAGATGCTGTAAAAGTGGAAGAGCATCAGGTAATTAAGGTGGGAAGGGACCTCAGGAAGCCTCTAGTCCATTCTCATGCTCAGAGCTGGGTGAGTGATAGGATCAAGTTGGGTTGTGCCCCTGGCCAGCTCCCTCCAGTTTATATGCTGAGCATGACATCATATGGTCTGGAATATCCCTTTGGCCAGTTTGGGTCAGCTGTCCCAGCTATGCCCTCTCCCAGTTTCTTGTGCATCTCCAGCCTACTTGCTGGCAAGGCATGAGAAGATGAAAAGTCCTTGGCTTGTTACTTAGCAACAACTAAAACATCAGTGTGTTATCAGCATTTTTCTCTTACTAATCCAAAACACAGTACTATACCAGCTAGTAGGAAGAAAAGTAACTCTGTCCCAGCCAAAACCAGGAGAGTGTTTTATCTGGTCTGAAAAGCTCAGTGGATGGAGGCTGCACAGCCTCTGTGAGGGAGCTGTTCCAATACTGGACAGTTCTTGTGGTGAAGAAGTTTCTTCTTGTGTCCAGTCTGAACCTTTCTGCTTCAAATTAGTTTGGACTAGATGGTCTTTAAAGGTTCCTTCCAACCAAAAGCATTCTGTGATTCTATGAAATTAATATTAAGTCTAATTGCTTTGAAGTATTTGCTGAGATGATTATGGGAACTGCAGATTAAGATTGTTTTGTTTTCTTGTATCAGTAAGAACTATAATTCCAGCAAAACTGTAGATCCAGAAGGCATGCTTGTTGACAAAAAGTTACCTGTTACCTTTCTGAAACAGTATGTTGTCATTTGTTCTTCCTCTACAGCTCGTTCTTCGCAAATGGTGTGAACTCATCCCTGGTGCAGAATTCAGATGCTTTGTCAAGGAAAACAAGCTTATAGGTAAGGATTTTCTTAAATATAAAATCATTAGGGGAAGCTCTGAGGAGTTTCTTTGCATTCCTTGAATCAAAGTTAAATCTGAAGACTTCCTTCTTATCACGTCTCATTTCTGGAATTAATGTTTTCTTCTTCTTTCTGTAATTTAAAGTGTGATATGCCACATTTCTCTTCCCACCATATTTGAAAGCCTGACACCACAGCATGCTCGGTATTACAGTGGGCTCATTCTTAATTCTTACTGCTAATTCAGAAACTTCATCCAAAGGCTGTTCTGTGACTCTTTTATATTCAGGAGTTGCACTGTAGCCAGCTTGCAGAATTAATACAGAGGCAATTGGGTATTATGATAAAATGTGAACACATGTAGATATTATATGCAGAAAACTGGGGAGGTCAGAACATGTCCACAGGTGTACAAGGTGTCTGAACTCATATTATATTCAGTGTAGCTTAGTCAGGAAACCTGGTGATCTTTTACTGTGGTTCAGAATCCTAAATGTAACATGTTTGAAGCAGCACTGAACAGCAAAGTTATCCACAGCACGCAAAGAGCTGGTGGGTGCATTGGGAGGCAGCTGGAGGACAGGAAGACTGTGCTACAGTGTGTGTTGTAGGCAGCTGTAGTTGAATTGTACTCCTCTAGATGTATTGACTACTCTCTGCTGACTATAACAGGAGCTTAGACATCTAGTGCACATGCAGGTGCTTGAATTGAGGGGTTTAATTTCAGGCTAAATATTATTCTGGAGTATGAATTTGGTTTTGGTGTGGTCCAATGTGGAATCTTTAAACATGAACAGAAATGTAAATAGCACAGGATTGGTGCACATTTGTCATTAACAAGATTGAATCATTCTGTCTAAACTCTTCTGACAAGGAAATGTTACAACAGTGATGGAGCAAAGCTCTAATCCAGACTTTGTAGGAAAGAAGGAAGTGATTTTATTTTTGCTTTAAAACAAAACCAAGTTTGCTCATTTTGTCTGTCATATACCTACATATTCAGAAGCACCAAGATGCACATATGCCAGTGGTTTGTCCAGGATTCCCTGTGCTGGTGTGGAAGGGATGGGATATTAGCTATTTAGTCCTCGTTATTTCTCCTGGCTTCTTCTCAGCATGTTGACTGTGTGATTGTTTTGGATGTGCCTTTTTGTATCTGTTAGGAGCTGTCAGCAATCTGTTGCTCCATCCTGTCCCACCTCTATGAATCATTAGGAACATACTCCTCTTTCTTTGTTTCTTGATCTGGGCGTCCTATGGAGTTGCACATAGATGTTTTGAGATGTGCTAATGTAGGTGCTGTCAACACATGCCATTCTCATAGCCCTTTTATTTGGCTGTTCCTTCTGGTGCTTCCACACTCATCTTCCCATTCTCTCTCCATTTATGCCAATTGCAGGGTTTATTACAGTTCTCTGTGACAGAGTTTATCTTCTTAATAGCAGAGATTCTCCATTAAGCTGGCATTGCTTAATGGCTACTGACATAGCATTTTGAAGGGGGAAGAGCTGAATCCTGTCCTGTTATGGGCTGCTGCAACACCACAGCTGCCAGAGATACGTGTCACTGTAATAACCTCTAAAGCATTTGAATGTAGACTTATTATAGAATATATATCTAGTGCTATATAGTTTCAAATACCTCAAAGCATTTGTAAGGTGGCTAACTAAACACTCTGTATGTTTAATTACTAGGCTTTGAAACCTAGTAGATCTACCAGTATGGGGGTTTTTTTAGCTAGCACTCCAGCTGCATTTCTGAAGACAGTTCCAAGATATTTCACAATATGTTCCCATCCTCTTAAAATTAATAAGCCTGTCAGTCAAGCTAAGGAGTGATACTTGCACAGTGTAGTGAATGATTTTCCAGTTGCACATCTGCATCCCCTGAGATGCCACCATCTCTTGGTTTTTGTTTTTAGCCCTGAGTTAAGCTTTGCAGTGATATTAATAATTGAAAGTTACACTGGCATCATAAACTTCATATGAATGTTTCTGAAGAGGACATCTTTGGAGGTAGTCAGCATTGTCTTAGAGTAAAACTTAATGTCTGTGTTTTGTATATGGTTAAAATAGCGAAATGCCATCACTAATACATCTTTCTTGGGGGTTCTGGCTTTTTCTTCCCCTAAATAGTGTGAGTTACTCATTCTATGTTGATGGGCCGGGTCTTGATTTGACATTTGTCCAGCAGAGTATTGCAGTGGCTTATGTTGACACATCCTATATGAGAACTTCTGTCATTTAAAACGCATGCAAGTGTATAATCCTGTTGATGTCAGCTTAAACTACTGTCTTCTAGGCAAACAAGTATCTGAAATTAAAAGCTTGTGATGTAACTGGGGTAGTTTATCAAATGTCAGATATGCAAGACAGCCCTCAAGGTGGGCAAATGGAAGAAATAAGGGACTAGACTGCATGTTATCTCGTTGATTTTAGGATTTAAGGTTTCACCTGTAGTGCCTTATCAAACAGGTATGCCTTATTCCACGCTTAAAAAATCATTTAAATGAGGATGGTTATGGTACACTAGGATCTATCATCTTTGCTAATGTGCAGTCTTAGCCTCTACCCCTTTCATTTCATGGTTTCAAATTCTGGTCCCTACATTTGATGTGCAGAACAGAAAAGGTTTTTGACTAGAGTAACCAGAGGGAATAAAACTGAAAGGAAAAGACAGGAACTGGAAATTTAAACACAGGCAAAGGTTCCTCCTGAAATTCACTTAAAAATAGTAAAAGCAGGTATGTATAAAATGAGACTCACAAAAAGTAGGACAGAACTGTTCAAGGAAAAGATTCCTAATGGAAGTGCTTTAAGTATAGGAGAATAAAGCCAAACAGCGAGTCATTGGTAATGGTTGAAACTTGGGAGAACCCCATCTTCTGAAATACAGTTTGTAACATGCATGCCTCTGATAACTGCCTTTTGCCTGGTTGGGTTTTTTGCACCCCTAAAGCTCTTTATAATCAACTCAAATTCTTGACAGGTATATCACAGAGAGACTACACTCAATACTACGATCATGTCTCTAAGCAACATGAGGAGATCTGTAGGTCGATACAGGAGTTTTTCAAGAAACACATACAGTATAAGTTTTTGGATGAAGACTGTAAGTATCTTAAAGGCTTTAATTAACAAGGGGAGCATGGGGGAGGGAAGGAGAGTGTTTATGAAGGTTTTTAAATGCTTATTGCACACATAGTTACAAAGACTTAAAACCAAAAATGAAGGGTCTGCCTCTTTGAAGTTTTTCTGCAGGATCCTGGGGTGTTTGAAATGGAAAGGGATTGGAGGGCAAACTCCATAGAAATGAGACCTGTCTTCCTGCCCCCTTGCTGCTGCTGAGACAGGCTCGTTTCCTCCACAGTGCACTGAGTTGCAATGTGCTAAATTCCAGTTTATTGCTGGAGATCAGTGGAAAAATGGACACTTCTCAATAAATAACAGCATCCACAATATTTTATGTCTGTGGATATACATCTTTCTCTCTCTCTCCATAGCTACTGCTTTCACAGGGCTTGGTTCTTTGGAATCTGGGAGAGTCCTATAGCTCTTGTGGCTAGAGCGTGCAGAGCAATGTAGTTTTTGGATGACTATAAAACTGGGAACAAAAAACCCCTGAAGGAATAGGCTGATGCTTTTCAGGAAAACAGAATGAATGGGTGAAAGATACCTTCAGAAGACATAATGCCTTTTTTTTTTTTTTTTTTATAAAGGCTTTTTCCTCCTTTTACTTGTTTTTAATGAAGAAAACTTCTAAACCTGAGAAGTAAGGTAGGAAATACATAACAAAAGGCATTCAGTAGTAAGAAGAATACTTTTATTTTTATTTTTACTGTTTATAAAGATGTTGTCCTTTGCTGCTAAAGTATGGATGTATTCCTTGAAGAAAGGATTTGTAAGTTTCTTTACAAGAACCTATAATAATTTTTCCTAGAATATTGATACACAGCAGTTTAACTGCTGATGCTTTTGGATAAAGGACTCACTACCTGATACACCTAAGCAGCCCAGGTAAATTGTCTTGTTCTTTAAATGTGGAGTCCTTGGCAAGTCTTAGTGGAATTAGTTTCCTGATGTGGTTTAGTGAGAATTGAATGGGTGTGATGGGTTGTGATGGGTGTTCAGGAGTGGTGAAAAATATGATGAAGGAATTTAAATTGAGTCTGACATGGGCCAAACCTCAGTTTAGTAAAATACATAAACATAAGAATTGTCTGTCAGTTGTACTATCTTATATAAAGCTTTGAATACTCAACCTCTAGGTAATTTTTGAATATGGTTAATTATTTTGCTGAGCCACCATAGCAGTCAAATAGATCCATCCTGTCTGACTTTCTGAAAAAGATGCCTTCTAATGCCAGTCTAATTTATATTAAAATTCTTAATAATTTAACTCTTCAGGGTTCCTTTATTTCAGTCCAGAGAATTTCTCAAGGACCACTGCTTGGAGAAAACTAGTAGTTTGGAAATCAGTATACTAATTTAATAGGTCCATAGCTCTCATGTTTTGAAGTAAAATCAGTCATAGAGATCTGACATTCTGATTACTGTCTTTTAATTTTCCTCTGTGTTCCAACAGAGGAAAATTTTAGCTAGTATGTAGTCAACTGTGATAGATAAGAATTTAGGGCACTATTTTTGGAAATTGATGCCTAGTTTTAGGCTCTGAAACTGCTCTCGGGTGAACTGAAAGGTCTGAAGTGTCATCTTATGTAAAGGACCTTAAAACTATGCCATTTGAGTTGCTTTCTGGGAAAAGGAGATTTCAGGATGACCTTTTGGGGCAAAGGTTTGTTAACCTTTTGTTCTTAGGCACTAAATGCTGGTGACTTCTCCATCTGCAGAGAAATGCCGTGCAGAAAATGTTTTCTGTTTTTTTTTTTTTTTACCACTTTACATTCATCCCCCATCTTATCTCTTGATCCACTGTCTGGTAGCATATGTGTTGTTAACAATAAAAATCTGGGTTTACTTGTTTGTCTGCTTTTAAAAGGAAAGGTATTATAGCTTTTTTTTTTTTTTTTTTGGTGACTTCTTGTTTTGTTGGGGATTTTGATGCTGTTAGCTCTGCTTTTTCCAGTTGGTCTGGTAGCATCTCCAGATGGAAGAGTTGAGTCAGAGCAGCTGAAGCATTGCAGAGTCAGAGCAGTAGGATAACAGATGGGTGAATGCTTTATAAATACTTCTAAATGATAGAACCTTCTAAATACTTTTCATGAGAGCCCAGTACGAACAGTGTTCTGGAGGTTTTGATACTTACTGTGCAGTCAAGCCTTGACTTACCCTCTACTTTGAGCCATTGCTGGTAAAGTTTTACTACAGTCTCACCAGCACACAACGCTCTTGCTCTGAGGTGGCCCCTGAGAAGAGGGAACAGTTCAGGTCTTCTTCTCTGTTCAGTGTTTGTGAGTGTCCTGAACTGGTCACCAATGTGCCATCAGTCTTAATGGGGATATAAATGCTACTAAGTGCTGTTAGCCTTAATGATTGCCATAGGCTTGCTTTAAGCTGACGCACAGGCGTCATTTTATAATAAATTTATAATAATTTTATAATAAATAAGTTTTCCATTAATGGAACAGGACTAATGAGAGTGCACAGTACAGGCAACAAGTTTGGTTGAGCAGCTGTAGAAGAAATCTAGAGTTGCTGTGCTCTTTGTGTTGATGACTTAGTTAGCTTGTCTTCTTGAGAAAATCTAGCACTTAATTCCAGAGTGACATTTTAAATTGACGTAACTGAGCTTGTGCAAGAAGCTGTGTGGATTTTTTAGGCTGTATGGTCAAAAAAACACCTACGTGACTGGCTTTGGTGCAGCTGCATTATGTTTTGCCCTTAGCCCAGCCAACTTTGCATGAAATGTTAGATTAAGCTGCTGAGCAGCTTTACATGCGTGAATGTCATCAGTCAACATCCCTGTTACTGACGAGCAGCTTCCTGAGTAGCTGCAGAGGCTCAAGTGTTCTTCAGTCATATCCTGAGTTTAGTTTATCCCACATGTATTGGGAAATCTCTTAGCTGAAATATTCCCTTCCTTATTGGTGAAGGAAGTGACAATACAGCATTTGTCTGAGGTTGGTTTTTTTTTTTAAATCTGACTTTTTTATTTTTTTTGTCTTTCTGCTAAACTGGTACAACTTCTGCATGTAGTCATGCCTGAATGCTTATCTATTGATTTCCCTAGCTGAATAGAAAGAGGAATCAAAGATTTGTTTAGCCATACAGAACAGAAGCTAATAGAAAGGTGTACAAAGGTTCACGCTTAATTAAGTCAAGGGAAGGGACAACAGTAGAGCTACCACAGAGCAGCTTTGCATCAGTCACTGAGTAGCAAAGGGTCTGTTTGGAAGAGCTGTTGATAATGAGTAGGTGTGCTGTATCTGCTCTGGGTTACATTAAACACAGCCATTTCACTGCTGCCTCCTCCTCAATACGCCCACCAACCCCTTTGTTCCTACAACCTGTTAGTCTTGTTATCTGCTGAAGTCCTAATCTCCTTCAAGCAGGAACTTTCTCCTATTAAATGTTTGTGCAATGTCTAGCACAATGGAGTCTTGATCCTTCCTTGAAACTTCTCCATTCTGCTGTAAACCAAACAGCAGTAAGAAAACAGAAGATAAGCTTCTCCCTGGGCCAAGAGTTTATCAAATGTGCTTTGCTGGGGGGGAAAAATCAGCAGAAACCAGCATTAAATGGAAAAACCGGCAGCCAGTCTCTCAGTGCATTAACAGGAGTTCTTGAAATGTTTCAGCTCCCTCTTGGAAATAAACCTAATTCTGGCTTGCAGTTCTTCAGACATATTGACTTTGCAGATTGTGCTGTGTACACAAGTACCTACTCAGATTTAGACATCTTCTGTGAAATGATATATCTTTTAAGATTAACTTTTTTTTTTCTCCTTTTCAGTTGTTTTTGATGTGTACAGAGACAGCAGGGTAAGTGAACATTAGGTTGTATATAATTGTTTATTCTGTGGAAACACTTCCTGAAATGCTACATAGATGAAGCAAATAAATAGCTTCATCTTCCTAGAAGTGGTCCTGGCAAAAAAGTACAAACTAAAAAACTGCTTGATGTTATCATTCTGTTCTGTGGGTCTTTTTCTATGTTAGACTCTGTCCACAGTAGGAGAATAATAGGATTAGGACTGTAAATATGTCTGTGCCAATGATGTAATTATTTAGTAAATATCTTCCAGAGGAGTAGTCTGTCTTAAAGCACGTAACTTTGACTTGAGCTGCAATTCTGTCAGTGCTATGAGTCTACGAAAGGTAATTTGGTTTTCTTCTAAGTTAGACACTTTATCAATATCATGCAGCATCATCAGATAGTTTTAGCAAGGTGCTAGCTCTGTTGCTAAGGTTTCTTCCACATAGTGCTTATTCTGTGTTTGACAGAAATGTATCTGAACATTCAGACAGAATGGCTGGGATATTTAAAAAAATGAGGCAGGGGTGCTATTTTGCTCACTACAAAAAAATTTGGAGGATACTTACTACCTTTTCTTGCAAAAATCATAGAACCAGAGAATGGTTTGGGTTGGAAGGGACCTTAAAGATCATTTAGTTCCAACCCCCCTGCCATCAGCAGGGACACCTTCCCCTAGGGCAGGTTGCTCAAAGCCTCATCCAGCCTAGCCTTGAACACTTCCAGGGAGGGGGCAGCCACAGCTTCTCTGGGCAACCTTTGCCCAGAAAAAGGGAGCATTCCTTGGACTTTTCTTTTATCCTGTGAAGATTGCCCCTATAGCATCTGAACTCATCAAAACTAATTATTAATATTTCTTCAGACTATCCTTGTGAGGTTGGTAAATGGTAACTTGTCCTTCACATATGGAAGCCTATGGTACCACGGGATAATTGTCAAAAGAGTATATGAATGTGGTGTGCCCTGTTTCAGACAGATGGAGGCTAATTTTTTCTTTTCAGACTGCTCCAGCTGTGGTTCTGAGTACTCAGCAAATCAGAGCTCTGAACATCCAGGTAGTGATGGAATGGGGAGAAATGTCTCATCTAAACTTCAGATGCTGATATCTGAGTGAATCACCTTAACCTCTCCTAGTATCAGTGAAGAGAAATAGGTCTGATGAATTGTTCTCAAAAGACACACGTGTATTGTTCTAAAAGCACCCACAACCAAAAATGCATTATGTAGCGTTAAATCTCAAAAGCTGATTATGGAACCACAACCTGATTGTGAGGAATCACATTATTGCACAAGAAGTAATTCTTTGTTTTAACTTAAATGTCTTTCCAAATCCTAAACCAGAAATGCAAAAAAAATGACCATATACTTTTGCTATATACACTTATGAGTCTCACACTTTGCCTTGTTTACAGTTCATGGGATTGGAGAAGGTCTTGATTTGAGTTGAGTTGGGAGTAAGTCCTGATTCTGACTTTGAATGTTGCTGAAATATTTTGTAATTGCGTAATAGTAAATCATGCCATAGTTTGCAAAACAAAAGCTAAACAGGAATGTTTGTCATGTGGAAAAAACCAGCTCTAAAGGCTATTGTACTGTTACTCAGCCCAATTTTTAACATAGGTGCCTAAAATCAGGCTACGTGCTGAAAGCAGCCCTGCTGAATGGTCATGAAAATTACCTGCCCAGGCTCAGATGATCAGACCTAGGATGCTGTCAGGCAGAATGAGGAGCAGCTCTTCAGTATGAGACCTGGTTCTGCTGTTGGGTACTCTGCCTCACAGCTGAGGTTCGAAGATAGATTATTTAAGTAAAAGGTTTCAGCCTGTGTGATCTCAAATGAGCAGTGTTTATTCATCTGTCAAGATAAAATATATCTTTTTGCAGATATGCCTTCTACCCTCAGGTCTTGTAAACTGCCAGATAGCCCTTTGTGTGTCAGATCCTCCTCCTTTCACACACACTTCTGTGGTTTGCAGCTGTATTATTCATCGCTCCCTTTGTACGTGAGTTATAGGCAGCAAAAGAATATTGAGTGTTGCTGCGAGTGATTAATTTCCAGAGCCCGTGCTCCTCACCAGACTGGTTGCACAGCAACCTCACCTACAGAATGAGATAAATGTCCAGTGTTTACTTATTTTAAATTCTTTCAGCTGTAAATATTCAGCTTGGAGAAGCTTGTGTTTTGATATGGTTGTGAATGAGAGCAGCCCCCTCCCCGTGCTTGCTCTAGTTACTTGAGAGACTGCACAGAGTAGGCTGCCCCAGGTCCTGCTCGTTGGGTTGGAGGGTGGTGTAGAAGCAACGGTGGCCTGGTTGAGAGCAAGCTTTTGTTATGTCTGCTTTTCCTGTTACACTCTCTTCACCGAGCTCATCTGAGCTAGTGCCTGACTTGGCAGACAAGTAATTTTTTAAGGAAGAAACATTGTCATACAGACTTCCAAACCAGATGATCAGCAGACCTAGCTCTGAAGAGGTTATGTTGCAGGCCAGGGAGCTTGTTTTCACTTTGATCCACCTTTGTGGTTTTGTTTGTTTTTTTTTCCTCCTGCTAGCAGTTCACAATCGTTGCACAACAGCTGCCAAGCCTGAGAATCAGCTCTGCTGTTGCTCTTTGTGTATCTCCCAGGTGTTTACACCTTGTAACCATGTTCAAGACAAGTCACTGTGGTAAGACAAAGTGTGGTGGATGGCTCCTGACCACTGCTAGCTCACAGCTGCTTTTGTTAACCTGCAGACTAGTGCTTGTGTCTCTGCCTTGTGAGCATTGTCACTGTGCATGAAGGTGCAGCTGGAGTTAGGGACATGTAACAGTTCAGTTTGCATTTTATCTATCTCTTAACTTCCTTTAAACAGTCTTTGTCATAGACACTTCCTTTCAGCATCATGTTGCTTCACGCTTTAGTAAAACAAAGCGTGAAGCTGACACGATACAGTAAATCTATTTGTTCCTCTTTTAGAATGATAAAAAAAATAATCTTATATAATACAAGTTGTTTTTTTTTTTTCCTCCTCCAGATATGTACAACTTTGCTTTCCTGCCTTGTGCATTTCTGTGCTCTCATATGACAAAGATTACTAATACGAGATGATTGCAGATGAATAGCTTTACTACTGCTCTTAAGTTACACAGTACAAGTCATCTTAAACTACGTTTAAATCATGACATTGCATTTAACACTTGAAAGAGCATTTAATCTCAAGAGAAAACAGTTTGGTTGCTGACCCAGCGTTATATACACACTCTTTGATGAGCCTTGAAAAGGGATATTTAGTTTGTTCCACCACTTCTCATGAATTTGCAGCTACCAAAGCTCAGTGCAGATTTAAGACCATCTCAGGGAAACAGTTGGTGTTGTAAATGGTGTACATGTTGTAAATGGGAGAAATACTGTTGGGTGCTCGCGAAAACCAAGTGTCACTTTCAGTAGTTTCAAAACCAATTTTCAGTTTTTCCAGAGTACATCTCTTCTGTAGAGAGATGATCTTGAGTTCCTATGAAAAAGCTGAGTTTTGTGTATTTGGGGTGAGGAGGGGTCTCTAGAAAAGCCTTTCATAGGGAAATCCTTTATTAAGTATAAGCATTTATGATGCAGGGAAAGATTCTCTGAACTGCTGAATGAACTTTGCCAGCCATTGCTTCTGTCTGTTATTAAATTGGTTCATTAGGTTGTTTTTCTAGTGTGATAGAATGAATCTGAAATTACAGATTCCTCCTCCTGCTGCCTTGGAGCTAACATGTCCCCATTAGCAAAAGTAAAACATCACTTATAATGAGAATTTGTGACTGCCTTTTGAAGAGGAACAGAGATGGAAAATGAGAGCAGAGCTTGCCCCTTTTTCACTCTCTGCACCAATGGTGTCAATATTGGTGCAGAGGTGTTGCAACTTAGCCACGCACATTTGTGCTTCTTCACCCTTCCAGAACAAGTAAGAAAGCAGTCAGGTCTGTGTCCCTGCAATTCACAGTTTCTTTTGTAGCCGTCTGGTTTCAGTGCTGCTGTTGAGGTGCATTGGCTTCTTAATATTTGCTCTGCCAGAGCTGTACCCCATGGATATGAAATCCTTTACTGGAAGTATTGTACCCCATGGATCTGAATTCTTTCCTGTGAGGGTGGTCAGACACTGGAACAGGTTGCCCAGAGAAGCTGTGAATGCCACCTCCCTGGAAGTGTTCAAGGCCAGGCTGGATGAGGCTTTGAGCAACCTGGTCTAGTGGAAGGTGTCCCTGCTGATGGCAGGGGGGTTTGAACTGGATGATCTTTAAGGTCCCTCCCAACCCAAACCATTCTGTGATCTGCCCTGAGAGAGAGAGAGACCTGTGAAAGCCTGTGTGCAACCACAAGCTCACTGGTTGGGTTGCTGGCTCAGTTCCAGTTTACAGGTAATATCACTGGTTTAATCTGTGCTGGGACTCCCCCCACCTGCACGTGTAACTCACTGTGGAAGTTAACAGACCAGGCGGAGCATTTCTCTTCTCTATTGTATGGGTTTCCATGCATTTCCTATTCTATAGTGTGTTAGTGCCTGTGGGGGTGGCTTAAGCAGTGTGGGTGGGAGGGGAAGTCTCCATGTTACTTGGTGACTGAAGGCTTCAAAAGCATCTTTCTAAGTTAGAAACCAGATGGCTGTAGTGTAAATCATTGAAGATATTTGCTGTTTGTATCAAGACAGGGAGGATCTTTTAAAGAAAGAAGATCCTTCAGGAATGAGGGAAAGAAAGAGAAAACGAAATAAGTTTTTAGTAGCTATACAGACTTCCAGATGTAGTACTTGTTTTACTAATTCTTACTACCAGTTGTATTCATATTTCATTATGATTTATTATAGTTTTTTGTGTTTTTAGAATAATAACACTTTCTTGGGTAAGAAAAGATGGCCCTTTGCTGGGGGTTGTATCTTGAGATGGCTTAAGGAACACAAACTATTTCTTGCTCCTCTGCAGATATCTGTTACCTTTAAGTATGTTAGATTCTCTGCTTTCATTTTTCACCTGTAAAACAGGCACAGTATGCTGTTGTGCATACTACCAGGTCTGCTTGGAACACAAATATATCAAAGATGAGGCAGGAGAAACTAGCCTGGACCACTAGTAATGGCTATGTTCAAAATGCCTTTAAATTATTCTTTATTTTTCTATATCTGTGCAGAACCTTTCAGCTTTCATGGTCTCCACTAGCATTTTGCAGACGCTGCTCTGTATTTTTAGAGTCCCTTCTGAGACCAAGGACAGCAATTCTTGTAGACTGCTGAATGTACAGCAGTGCTGAGGTGGCTTTTGATGGAAAGTGCAATCCCTGTTTGGGTGGGTGGGTTGGTTGGTTGGTTTGTTTTCCCATTCCTTGTTCATACTGTCTGGGGACCTTGGAGCACCATGGGGATTAGACAGAACTTCTGTGGTCTCATCTGAAAGCACCTTGCATAGGACTGGATTCAGCTTTTTTGAGCTCTGTCTGATCTTCTGTTTAAAAGAAAGAAACAAATTAGTTAAGTCATAACATACTGTGTTTTAAAACTGTGTCTAATGTAAAGGATATTAGAATATTTTAAGTGCTTAAAACCAGTTGGTTTAAATCTTGACATCTTTTTGTCTAAAGACTAAGCACACTACAGTAATAGATGTGTATTATGATTTTTTTATTTTCTTTTTTTTTATATTTTGTTTTAATTCTGTGGCTTGTTTTGATTCATCTATTGTTCCATTGCAGGGTAAGATTTGGTTAATAGATTTTAACCCATTTGGTGAAGTAACAGACTCCTTGCTGTTTACGTGGGAAGAACTGACCTCTGGGAAAAACTTGAAAGGAGACCAGGGTGAAGGGGAAGCAACAGAACAGGTACAGCCCTGTGGTGAGAGAGGCTGGCTAACAAATCCAACAGACCTTATGGCCTTTTTTTTATTTGTTTGTTTTTTTCTTTGTTATAATCAAATTGTGATGCAAATCCCATTGAAGTAAATGAATGTCCTTAACTCATGAAGCGTAAACTCTTTGTGAGCAGAATCTACCTTATTAGACAGCAGTTAATCTCAACTAGTATCCCATGCTGGCTTTAGATGCCTGCAAGAGAATTTTTAGTGCAAATGGTACAAGCCCATATTGTAGCTTAGACCACATTGTGAAGCAGATGCCCTGAAACTTGCTCTTACACAGTTTTGATACTCTTTTCAATTTCTCTTAAAATCTGTTCCTTTTCTATTTAACCACTTAAAGTTCTGATTTCTTCCTGATATCTGTCATACAGTTTCCCAGAGTTCCAGATTTATGTTTGGAGGGAGGGAAAAAGAAGCTTAACTTCTGTCTCTTCCTCATATCAAATATCCTCAGGGAAGCCTTGTCCTCTGGTTGAACTCCCTGACTTGCAGAGCAGGGCTTTTCTATCCCTCTTCCAAGCTGCATTGCCTCCATAAAAACAAATAGCTTCCTGTTAATACAGAGAGAGAGAAATAGTCTTCATTTATTTGTACTCCAGCTTTTTTTTTTCACTGCATGCTTAAGACTGAGTCCTCACATCTTAATGGGTCCTTGGACAGCTGGATAGAAGATATGAAGTAATATGTTACTTGATCTTGGGAAACACTTGGTAGTTGTTTGAGGAGAGACAGGTAGTCAGAAAACATGGGCTTTTCTTTATTTTCTAGCTGTTAAACTGCATTAGAGGTGACTGAAATGAGCTGATTGTAATACTGAGCTTTGCTTTAGTTCTGTTGCCGTTTTCATAAAACACTGAAAGGGAAATACACCGCTCTGCAGTCTGTCCTTCATGCCCTTTTCTCTTAGTCTCAACGTGTGTCATTCATGCCCTTTTCTCTTGGTCTCAACGTGTGGCTATTGCTGTATGAAAACCCACTCAAAGAACCTTCCTGCTAAAGGCTGTGTCTCCTTTATTGAAACACACTCCCAATTCTTGAGCTGTCCATGGGACACCTGAATTTTGTTTTGAGGGTTTCTTTTAGTCAGGGCCAGACGCGTTACACAGTTTTCTCTGGTATAAGCCTGAATGAAAAGTAGAATGACTTGTCTTCATGCTTCAGCTTAGTTCCGATCACAGAATCTGTTGTGAAGTTACTGAACTCCTGTCTTTAAAATGGAGCTGCTTATTGCCATACAGTGAGCAATTATGTTGCACGACAACACATTGAACTAAAAATTTTATCCGTTTACCCAAAACCTGTTGCTACAATTGAGCATTTAGAGATATTTTTGGATCTTTTTTTGAGATATTTTTTCCTTCAATAAGTAAATTGATTGGAAAGCTTAGTTCGTAATTTCTGTAAGGTTATAGTTGCAAATATGGGTTTAAACAAGGAACTTGTGAAGACAAGTTTAGGGATTCTGTCATTTTCTTTATCCACATATTTATGTAAATGCTGTTGCCCAAAGTTCCTTATAGCTCCATTATTACAGCACTGTTATAACCATATGTATGTTAAATGCATTAATAATTGATACACTGTAGAAACTTTAAAGTGAGGTAATTAATGCCTCTATTTGACTGTTACTAGCACTTTAACTTTTACTCTTATGTGGGCAGAGTTTTTAATAAGAAAACTACAATTTTTAGAAAGCACAGGTTTAGTTGAACGAACGCCAAATAAACTCATTGGCAAAGTGACTCAGACAATCTCATGGAGGAGTTCAAAAACCATTGCTAGCTTTATTCACATACACTGTTCTTGTCTCATTCAATATCTTTTCCAAAGGACTATCCAGTTTTCCGTTGTACAAACAGTAAAGTTACTGTCCAGCCTAGTCCGTATCTGAGTTACCGACTGCCGAAAGATTTTGTGGACCTTTCTACAGGAGAGGATGTTCACAAATTAATTGACTTTCTTAAACTGGTAAGAACTACTGAAAAAAATTTCCTTCTGACCTTCAATCTTTGTGAAATGGCAACATCCAAGTGCCTGGAATTGTGTTTTTGTAATTAACATAGGTTACATAATTACGGCAAAAGTATGAAGCTATCATACAGTGTATTGTTGGGTTGTTTTCTTGTTTTTTTGGGTTTTTAACTGATGAAGAACAAGCTTTCATACTGATCTCACTTCAGTTAATTAGTTTTATCTTTATGGGAAGCAATGAATGCAGTTTGACAAATTTTACTGAAGGACCTAACTGTTTTCTTATTTAAATGTAAATACAAATGTAGTATAAATGGAAATGTATTTTTTGAATGGCTGAAGCTAATGCTTTTAAGAACTTCTTTAAAAGTTATAATGTAAGTATATTAGGAAAAACCTTAAACACTTGTTCCTTTTTCAATACAATTTCTTTGTTCCTTTGAACAGTGACGTGAAAACGTGACATCTTTGTAAGTGAGGGAAGGGAGGTCAGGTTGTCTCCACCTTGACCACTGACTTCTGCCACCACCATGTTTTCTGGTTCTTGTATATTCTATTGATTAATGTATGGGGTAAATCTTGTTCTTTACTGGAAATAAAATCCTGTAGTTTGGGATGGGGGAGAGGGTTGATATTGCTCTGTTCCATTTGCTGGAAACATTATCTCTTACCATTCAAATAATGGCTTAGAAATGCAGTCATTGTCTAATATCCATTGTATCTGGAAACACTTGTCATGATTTATTAGTGCTCTTAAATTCAGATAACTGTTCTAAAATCATGAACTCTCCTGTTCTGTTGACAGAAAAGAAACCAGCAAGATGATGACTGAGGTATCAAGAAGCATTACACTGAATTACAAGCAAGAAATGTGGCAAAAAGCTATATTTAGCATAACTATTAAGCTATCAATTTAAAGAAAACCTGCTTTTTATAGTCAGTGAAAGAACTTAAGAGCTGCTCATCCTGTGTGTCTGTTGGCTCATATAAAAGAGTAGAAAAGGTTTTTCAGGGAAACATGAAAGGCCAGGGTGAGTTCTCACTGGATTCCAGGTTAAGTGCAGTTATATCATGGTGCAAGCAAGCAACAATCTGAGTGCAGCTGAAGAACTGCTTTCCTGTCTCATGATGTGAGGATTGATGCCACTGAGGTATGCCATTGGACTCTTCAGTGATAAATATGACAACATTTAATGCTTGTGCAGTTAAAACATCAAACATTCTCTGAATTTAGGCACAGTCTTGCTTAAGATATGGTATAGTCACAAGGAAAGAAAAGAATGTATGTTTTTTCTGTAGTAACCTTTTAATATTGTAAATTTACTTTGTTTTGGGAGCACTTCTCATCCTTTCTTTATGTCAAAGAAGAAAAGAAAAAATGAGGAGAAGGGATTTTTTTTTCTTTGTTACGAGGGATAATGTTTAATTTCAGAGAACAGCTGTAGCTATAGGAGACTACTTAAGGTTTTAAAATTTTGCATTTCAGGAATTTGAAATTCTGAATGCATTTCAAATAAAGTAATATTTTCACAGTGGATAAAGCTATGAAATTTGTTAAACTTCACCAAATTTCATTTCATTTTCATAGTAAAGCTTTCTTGAAACTTATTTTTTAACTTGATTGCATACTAGATATCATCTGTGACTTTAATATAAATAGTTAACATAGCATCAGCCTGTGATTTTTATATCATTTCTTTTGTATCACATCTCTGCATTCCTTAAGGAAATTAATATTCTTTCAGCTCTTAAAATTCTGTATTCATTTGGTGGTACTTCATGTTTTTTGTATAAAAGGAAGCTTGGCTAAATTTGGGGAAACACAAGTTCTTGTTATGGATTGTGGTTATTTGGGAGGTGGGGAGAGGACAGTTTCAGATGAAGAACCAGCTAACTTTTGGATATAAGTGTTTACATGGCATTAATTTGTTAACTGTGTGCACAATTCCTGTTGAAAATAAAGGACATTTGGAGGTGCTCACAGCCCCGGGAAGTTGGTTCCTGTTTCAAACCAGTTATGTGACACTTTGTGCGTGTATATAAAGCTGTTCATGTTTCTTTGCATTGCTTTTGCTGTCAAATTGATATGGTGCTCAGTTACAATCTGTTCTGAGATGTTAAATTTGAGCTAGATGTTAAATTATTACTCACTGTCTTTATTTTTCTTCAGTTTTGAATGAATACTTACTCTAGTTAAAGATTATGCAGATTAAGAATCCAGTTCTACCAAATGTATTGATGAAACATCACAGATTAAAACTCCTGGAGTCTGAGAGTATGAGATCTGCCCTACCCTTGAAGCGATGGAATCTCCTTTTCAATAGTATTTTGTACACAGTAGATGATCATTAACTCAGGGCTGAGCTCTACCTGATCCTGCCGTACTGCAGGGCTTTGGATGAGTTTTTCTCACCATTATCAGAGGGATTATTTGAGTATAAATGTCTTTAAATCAGGTAGGAACTTCAAAACTTAAAAAATCTAGCCACGCTTCCTTTACACAGATAATGCCCTGGAATTTTCAGCAGATTCATAAATGTTTCTGAACTGCAGATTATTGTCTTTAAAAATACTGAGTCCTGATTTAAAGCTGTAGGTTATTGTCATGCATCTTTTTTGTGGTCTCCACTAGTTAATTTACCATTATCACATCTTTCTGGGCTGGGTATTCACCAGAACATACATGGTATTGGGACCAATTTGGTGGGACCCTGTGCACTCTGTAGAGTGTCCCTTCAGGTGAGTAGGCTGGAGCCAAGATAAGTGAATTCAAAGTTTGTGTTTCTCCCCTATAATTTACTAACAGATGACCAAATCTGAATTAATGGACTGCTCAGCCAAGCTATCAAACACTGATAGCTAACTTCATTTCAGAGTTACAGTAATTTATGCCACTTCCTCTGGGCTTAGTTTTAATGAAGAACCATAAAAGGTAGCAGAGCAAAAATATTAGTCCCATGTTCAGGTCTTGATACAGAAGGAGTCCCCACTATAAAAAATCTGTTCTGCATAATAAGAACCATATTCTTACAATTTAAATACATACCTTTATTTTGCTTCTTTTTCCAACTTCAGGTAACCAGATGTTGATTATTTTTTTTTGTCTGCTGGATTAAAGATTCCTCTTCTAAAATAATTTTCATCCATATGACTTCTTGATCTGTGAGGATAACTAACAAATATATTCCTCTTGAGGGGCTGAGGAAGCCAATGTTGATACATTAAAAATGCTTCAGATCAGTTTTAAGCTGAATAGTATATGACTCTTCATTCTGTTTCAGGTCATCACAAAATCAGTTTCTACCTCTAGCATTCATACAGAAATTTAAAAATTCAGAATTCCAATTTTTCAGGTCCTTTTTCATGTGTTTTGAAGATATGATCACCATTTGCTGAGTAAGGACTAACTATATACTATATATTCTTAGTTATATGCTTAAAACATTATAGAAAGATAATTGCAATCTTGTCTAGATGACAAACATAAGAAGTTTTGGAGGGAGGTGGCCTGCAGTTGTTTTATACAGATGATATGCTTGCCAAACACTCAAAGTCTGGCTGTGTCTAATGGCTCAAGTGTAGTGAGGCTCAGTTCTTGGGCTGCAGCTCTGCCAGGAACACCAAAGAAAAGTTCATTATGTCACAGCCAATGCTTGCAATAATTAATCTCCCAGATGGATAGTGGGAATCAGGGTTCCAGTAACCCTGTAAGTAGCAGTTACTAACATGTACTGGCTTAGTTCAGGATTTGGAATAATGCTCCTGTACTTCTGGGCTGCAGACTGTCCAGTCTGTTTGTATTCCTTTGACTCTTCTTTTTCTAGTGTTGTCCACATCTTTCCACCAATCTGATACTTGGGTGAATGTTAAGATCATAATAAGCAGCAGCATGGATAATACTGATCTGAATTTTAAAACCTCTCTCTGTCCACTTTCCCTCCCTCTTAGAAAGAGTTGGTTTTGAGTGGTGCTCTGTAATAACTGAAAAAAACCCTGAAAATAGGGGAATAATAACAAGCTCTGAGTCTTAGTAACATGAATGCCACTTGTTCAATTCTGGTCACAGTGCATGGCTTGTAAAAATCTTAACTGACTAGAAATTTCACGCATCTTATGCACTCACCTGTTGCTGATCTCCAGGATGCAGTGCTGGCCAGAAAAAGGGTACCCAGTGAGATGCAGTTTAGATGCCCATATAAGCAATACAGACGATTAGACCAAACTGTTCATGGTTTCAGGCTTTCAGGAGAGCATTGCCAGATGAAAGGACTCCAAAATATATCAGTGGTAGCATGGAGATGGGGAATAGCATGGCACAAACTTGTGTAGAAATACTTCTGGTACCTTGGTGAATGACTGAGTTTAGCTTTCACCAACTGTCCCAAACCTGAAGTGTCGAATAGCTGGAGAAGACCACGGGGTATCTGTCAGTGAGTATAAACAAGCCAATCATCTTGGCAACTGGTAAATAATTTCAACCTCACAGTCCAAGAGTATACAATTCAGGTTGTGTTTGGGTAGCAAGTCTATCACTTGAAGAAATAATATTGAATTAAAATATATATCTTTGGCTAAGAGAAGATGGACCTTAAAGCGTAATACAGAAACAGACTGTAGAGCTTTTGGTCATGATGGATACTTGGTAATGCTGATATTTAGAGGCTTAATACATCTCTTAACTAAATTTGCTTGGATGTTGAAATAACAGTGTCTTTGTTTCTGTTTGAATTTGATGACTTTTGTAAAGAGAAAGTCTCCAGCTTGTGGTCATCCTGAAATGATATAGAATTAAAATAAGACTTGATGCCATAACTGGGGTATTTTGAGCAGACTTGAAGCTTTCCCAAAGGTACAGAGTACTTAATCAGTAATGTGTGATCATCGAGTTTTATAGTAATAAAGATGTTGGTGCTGCAGTAAGAGTGTGGGGTTTTTTTTGGGGCGATCAATCAATGCCTGCTGTATTTCTGTGTGTGAACTATTGTAGCAATGTATTCCCTGGGTACCGAGAGTGTTTTGACTGCTCTGAGTTATTCTGTTAATACCTGAACAGGCTTCTTCCAACAACGTATTTTGGCAGATTGTAAGGAAAACTTGGTTGGCTGGTTGATCAAAAATACTGACTTCTCAGAACCTTTCTGCATGGAAGCATGCTAGTTACAAATAAACTTTCAGGAGAGATTTGTGACTCCTAAACAGCATTTCTATCCAAAGGAAAGAAAAAAGTCAATACTTGTTATTTCTTGTCTTTAGGGCTCAAATCCAAAGGGTGGAGATGCTTGACAGTTTTGGCTTCTATCTTAGCTTCTGCTGTGAACCTGTGTCCTGACCAAGTGTTGCACTTCACTGATGTAAATGAATTATTTGTTGGAGCTGGGACTGTAAGACACAGGAGAGAGTGGATCAAGAACGTGTTAAGCTAAAATGTCTGTACAGCAGTATGAGGAATACACAGGAGGAACAGAACTCAGTGTCAATATGTGTCACAAATAGTTGGTGGGTGTTGCAGAGACTTTGGGAGATGAACTGCAGCACTGGAACAGACACACCTGTGGTTCAGGAGGGGCTGGAGGCACGATGCTGAACATCAGCAGTGTCTGTATTTCCAAAGCTTGGGAATCATAGAATCACAGAAGGGGTAGGGTTGAAAGGGAACTTTTAAAGATAATCCAGTTCAGCCCTCCTGGGCAGGGACATCTTGCACTAGATCAGGTTGCTCAAAGTCCTGTACAGCCTTACCTTGAACACTTCCAATGATGGTGCATCCACAGCTTCTCTGGGCAGCCTGTTCCTGTGTCTCACCAACTTAATAATGAAAAATTTATTCTTTAA